TATTGCGCTTTGTTGACACGTCCCCAAACGGCTGTTATTTCATTATAAATTTTTGTTGATTTCAAAAAGTTCGGACTAACTCAGCAGGGCAACCTGAGTTCACAGTTTGATTGACAGGATAATATTTCTATCTTCACTCCTTCAGTGAAGTATAAGGAGCAGTTGCGTAATTGAATACACCGTCTTTTTAATGAGACATTAAACTAAGGATCTGTCTATCTGTTCACATGGATAAAAAAGATACCATGACACTGTGTGGTTAAAACCAGGCAGTTCACCAAGGTCCAGTGGTCCAGTCTGGTGTTCATCTCTCACTTACCACCTCCAGAAAAGCACATCTCCAGGTAGAGATAGTAAGAGCTGCAGATCCTGGAGTCAGAGATAACACAGCGTGGATCTGGAGAAACACAGCCGGCCATGCAACATCAGAGGAACAGGAAAGTTGACGTTTCGGGTCAGGACCCTTCTTCAGAAAAAGAATTTGTGCTGTGTTCCTCCAGCTCCACACTGTGTTATCCTTGTCCCCAGGTAGTTGTGAGGCTTTGCATTGCACACATTTATTGCTGTGTTTACCGAATTAATTTTATTTTCCAAAAGGAAGGATTAATGGGACATATTGAGATTGTGATAAGGTGCTATCTACTCTTGATTCCTCGTAAATATATTAGAACTAAATGAGATGATTTAGTTTCAAAGAGTGAACAAAATTAAACAAAAGTAATGAACTCAACTCCAGTTATACTGAGATAACACGGTGTAGGGCTGGATGAACACAGCAGGCCAAGCAGCATCAGAGGAGCAGGAAAGCTGACATTTCAGGTCGAGACCCTTCTTCAACGTGTTATCTCAGATTCTCCAGCATCGGCAGTTCCTACTATCCAGTTATACTGCCTATTCTGCACGACTGCAATAACTCTGACACCATGTCCCTATCTAATTCCGACTGGCATGAGCTTCAGGAAGCCTTTGCATACTGTTAGACTTGCTTTGTGAGGTTTTTTAATTTAATGTTTGGAAAAAAAGTTAAGGAAAGTCAGTCAGGTCTTCAGAACACTTCAAAATTAGCGGGATTGAGAGCACTCCAACACACCTTTCTTCTGTGTGTTGAGAGTTGTTCATACCAGTTTACTTGAAGTAAATTCATTCACTGACTGTGAATCACATTGTGCATCAAGTGGTCCCAGTCTAATACTTTTATAGCTCCGTTATGTTGCAGATAAAATTGAAAGTCATTTTTATATTTATTTAAACGATCACCTATGCTTTGTACAATGGGCAATAAAATACTGCATCACCCAGGGGACAAACAAAAAATTGACAGAATTACAGAGTGCCTGCCTAAAAATTGGAAGCAGTAAATTTTTGTATGTTTAAAGTTGACCATGAATAAGTTTGAGTTTTTTTTTTCCTAAGTTGCGTTTAATAACTTATCTAAAATCTCCTGTTGGCTCTGCAACTCGCTGTAAAATTGTTGCAACTTAAAGGGCAACTTGCGTTTGGCACTTAATTACTTCTTGTTAACTATATTTTTTTATTAATTCACAGTATGTGGGCATCACTGGGTAGGCTAGTGCTTAATGACCACTCTAACTGCCCAGAGTCAATTGCAGGCCAGGTAAGGGTAGCAGATTACGTTGCCTAAAGGATGTTAGTGAACTAAATGTGTTTTCTCAACAATCAACAGTGATTTCATGGTCACCATTAGGTTAGCATTTTTTAAAATTATGTAATCTTTTTATTGAATTCAAGTTACACCATCTGCCATGGTGGAATTTAAACCCATGCCCCCCAGAACATTTAGCTTGTGTTTCTGGATTCCCAGCCGAGCGACATTACCACTACACCACTGCCTCCCATCTGACATTATCTAAGTAAAGTTGCATAAGTGCAGATTTTGCTCTGGCCCTGTTTATTGAGGCAGTGTGTGTCCGAATAACGAAGCTTGGGTATAGGCAGTAATTGGTCCTCTGTACTTTGGGGCAATCTGTAGACATATGTCTAGCCTCTACAGACAACTCACCACGAGAACAAAATGACTGTATTCAGCCTTGAGGTAAGTAAAGAGCATTGGGTGAACGCATGGGGGCTGGTTAGTATTTGACCTGGAAGAGTGAATGAAGAAGGAATGGGGAGGAGTAGTTGGTTGTTGATGGGGAGATATTGGCAGAGAACAGGTTAAATTTCCATCCTTTCAATGGGTTGAAATGACTTGACTTTGACCCATCTTCCTGTATTGGGTCTTATTAGTCATTCAGGTTAGGCTTTTAGATCCACACCAAAAAGAGGGGACTGGCTAGTACTAAAAGGAACAATTGGGTTTAGGGAGGGGACACAGAGCCCTGAAGATTGACATGTTAAGCTTCAAATAAAGGCAACATACTGGAGATGGTGGAGATCTGAAAGGAAACCAGAAAGTGGTGGACAATCTCAGCAGGTCCACCAACAACACTTGACAGTGGTCGTTCAGCAAGTGTGGGAGTTTAAGAGTTAATCTCTTGTTGTAGATTCTAGTACTAATTGCTGCTAGTTCTTTAAAACCACTAATCGTTTAATAGAGTATACTTCTTAAGGGTGGACTGTTAAATCTCTTTTAGTGATGAGAAGCAGAACAACAGTCACTTCTAGTAAGTGGGGCTGCTGTAGCTTGTATAATTATACTGGGGCTAATAGTTAATTAGTTTAAACAGTTCCTGAAACAGCTAAGGCACAGTATAAAAGAAAGGTCAAAGGTCTCTGTGCCACCGATCTCTGTTCCACCTCCCCCATTCCACCCCCCCCTTCCCCCCCCCCCCCTCCCCCCCCCCCCATTCCACCCCCGAAAGTCAGCGAGTCATAGAGCTATACAGCACAGAAACAAACCCTTCAGTCCAACTCGTCCATGCCAACCACATGTCCCAAACACATTGAGTTCCATTTACCAGAATATCCCTCTGTACCTTCCTATTCATATACCCATCCAGATGTCTTTTTAATGTTGTAATTGTACCAGCCTCTACCATTTCCTCTGGCAGCTCATTCCATACATGCACCACCCTTTGGGTGAAAAAGTTGCCTCTTAGGTCTGTTGTAAATCTTTCCCCTGTCACCTGAAACCTATGCCCTCTAGTTTTGGACTCCCCTGTCGCAGGGAAAAGACTTTATCTGTTTACCCTGTCCATGCCCCTCATGATTTTACAAACTCCCATAAGGTCACCCATCCGCCTCTGACACTCCAGGGAAAATAGCCTATTCAGCCTCCCCCTATAGTTTAAACCCTCCAAACCTGGCAACATCCTTATAAATCTTTTCTGAACCCTTTCTAGTTTCACAACATCCTTCCTTTAAGAGGGAGACCAGAACTGCATGCAATACTCCAAGAATGGCCTAACCAATGCCCTCTACAGCTGCAACATGACCTCCCAATCCTATACTCAATGCACTGTCCAACAAAGGCAAGCATACCAAACGCCTTCTTCACTATCCTATCTACCTGTGACTCCACTTTCAAGGAACTATGAATCTGCACTCCAAGTTCTGTTTGTTCAGCAACACTCCCCAGTGCATAAGTCCTGCCCTGATTTGCCTTTTCAAAATGCAACACCTCACATTTATCTAAATTAAACTCCATCTGCTACTCCTCGACCCATTGGCCCATCTGATCAAGATCCCATTGTATTCTGAGGTAACCTTCTTCGCTGTCCACTGCACCTTCAATTTTAGTGTCACCTACAAACTTACTAACCATGCCTCTTATGTTCACATCCAAACCATTTATATAAATGACAAAAAGCAGTGGACCCAGCACGATCCTTGTGGCACACCACTGGTCACAGGCCTCCAGTCCGAAAAGCAACCCTCCACCACGACCCTCTGTCTTCTACGTTTGAGCCAGTTCTGTATCCAAATTGCCAGTTCTCCCTGTATTCCATGTGATCTAACCTTGCTAACTCGTCTGCCATGAGGAACCTTGTTGAATGCCTTACTGAAGTCCATATAGATCACGTCCACCTTTCTGCCCTCATCCATCCTCTTCGTTACTTCTTCAAAAAACTCAATCATGTTAGTGAGATACGATTTTGCATGCACAAAGTCATGTTGATGATCCCTAATCAGTCCTTGCCTTTCTAAATATCCATAAGTCCTGTCTGTCAGGATTCCCTCCAACAGCTTGTCCACCACTGACGTCAGGCTTACCAGTCTACAGTTCCTTGACTTTTCCTTAACACGTTTCTTAAATAGTAGCACGTTAGCCAACCTCCAGTCTTTCGGCACCTCACCTGTGGCTATTGATGATGCAAATATCTCAGCAAGAGGCCCAGCAATTTCTTCGCTCACTTCCCATAGTATTCTAGGGTACACCTGATCAGATCTCAGGGATTTATCCATCTTTATACGTTTTAAGACATCCGGCACCTCCTCCTCTGTAATATGGACATTTCTCAAGATGTCATTATTTATTTCCCCTTGGTTGTATGTGTTTGCTCTCAGCCGAGATAACCTATTTTCCACGATTAATGCCTACTGTTAGCACCCCCATTCTTCATGTATATTCTTTCCCTACTTCCATCACTCCCTTTGCCTTTTACACTGGAAACACTGATCATTTGTTCTAATTCCTCCTCCTTCCTGTCGTCAATTGCATAAAAAACATCATTCTCGAACTTTTCCCAAGGAAAACTAAATTGGACTCCAGTGTTAACTCTGTTTCTCTCTCCACAGATGCTACCATGCCTGCTGTGTTTCTCCAGTGCTTTGTTTTCATTTCAGATCTCCAGCATCCACAGTACTTTGCTTTTGATACTGGGAAATCCATGCTGGGGTTGGGTGTAATGCTAGAACAACTGTTGAAAATATTAGCATGCCATTTTGTCCTAGTTGTATACTTTTAAGCAATTGTACACATTCATCTTTGACTTCCCTGACACTAAAACGTTGATAATTTGTATGGGGCTAATTTAAATTGTTTATATACGAAACTAATTTGCTGGCTTTATATTTGAAGCATGTGTTTTTTTTTGCAGCTAAGCTTCCCAATCTACTTGACAAACCAGTGATTACTCCAGAGTTAGTGGGTACCAGCATCCACCTGAAGTGCAGTTATGTGAAATCTGCTTTAAACAGTACTGTAGCGTATGTGGTGGTGTGGTCACGGGTTTCTCCACTTAACATGAAGGAAGAGATAAAGAGAGACACAACCCATCAACTGTTCTCGTTTGTGGAGATGGATGGGATGACTTTAAAACTGGGAGATACGGTAATGATTTACAGATTTCTTGAAACAACAGTCCAGCATTCCATCATGTGAACATCTCTTTAATTCTTATTCAAGTTTCTCAGTGTGACATCACGACTAAAATAGCATACTTGAAGTCAAGTTACTCTTCACGTGTAACAAAATAGAAACACATTCACATTTACACACAACCATTAGTCTTGCAACAAAGGTGAGATTTCTGCCCTTACCTCATGGTCTGCAAATTCCCATTTGAAGGGAACTGCCAGGAAATTGATGAAAATCACCAATATTTCCTTTCCACCCTGAAGACTTTATCTCATTGACATGACCTAGATCAATGATTTCCTCCATAAGAACTTTAACATGTAATTGAAAAGCATGCACAGGGTCAGAACTTGAGCCTGTCTATTTTTTGGATGTGACTTAGGAACATAGAAAATAGCAGCAGGAGCAGGCCATTTGGCCCTTCAAGCCTTCTCTGTGATTTAATTTGTTCATGACTGCTTAGCCAACTCAATGGCCTTTTCCTGTTTTTCCCCCATATCCTTCAATCCCGTTAGCCCCAAGTGCTATATATAACTCCTTGAAATCAAAGAATGTTTTGGCCTAGACTGCTTTCTGCGGTAGGAAATTCCATAGGCTCACCTAGCTCTAGGTGACAAACTTTTTCCATTATTTATTCATTTGTGGGATGTGGGCGTCGCTGGCTGGCCAGCATTTTTATTGCCCTGCCAAGTTGCCCTTGAGAAGGTGGTGATGAGCTTGATTTTTGAACCGCTGCATTCCATGTGCCATCGATAGACCCACATGCTGTCAGGGAGGGAATTCTGGGATTTTGGCTGTGTGACAGTGAAGGACTGGCGATGAATTTCCAAGTCAGGATGGTGAGTGACTTGAAGGATAATTTGTAGATGGTGGTGTTCCCATATATCTGCTGCCCTTACTGTTCTAGATGGAAGGGGTTGTGGGTTTGGAAGGTGCTGTCTGAGAAACTTTGATGAATTTCTGCAGTGCGTCTTGTAAGTAGTAGCAGCAGTATGTACTGAGTTGCAATGGTGAAGGGAGTGGATGTTTGTGAATATGGTGCCAGTCAAACAGGCTGCTTTGGTCATGGATGGTATCAAGCTTCTTGAATGTTGTTGGAACTGCACTCATCCAGACAACTCATCTCATTCCAAAATGGTTTACCCCATATCCTTAGACTGTGACCCCTGTAATTTGGACCAGCCCATAATCAGGGTAAGGTTTTTTATTAGGGTTTTCTTCGCAGCTGGGATAAAATTATAGATGTGTGAGCCTTACAACTGTGACTACCTCTTCATTTTTCTGGGTGAAAATGGGCACATCTCCTCTTAATTTCCGTTGCCCCACCCCCCAGAAGTAAAATTAGATCATACAGGAGGTATTCTGTCCTGAATCAAGTTTGTGGAATTGGTATTTTTGATTTGGATGTAAAACTCGTGGCCCTATAGAGTGAATCCCTGCTCTGTTTTTAGCACAGTTCTCCATTCAACTTGCTGCTGCTTTTGAATTCACACACCCCTGGATGTGCTTCCGTATAAAATGCCTTGACTTGTACTTTAATCAACAGTTTTTCTTCAAAGCAATTGTCCAACTGCAACATTTTAATCTGTTTAGAACACCTAGGATATTAAGCTTCTTGTATAGTTTTACTTGCGCTCATTCTGTAAATGCAAGTGATAAAATCTGATTGGTTGGTTGGATTATTAAATTCAGGAAAGATGAATGCAGTTAATTTAAGGGCCTCCTTCAACCATATCTATCATGTGATATATGGGTAAGTTCACCGATTCTGTGGTGTAAGCCCCAGTGTCACAGCTCTATGAACTGTGGCTTGGAGAATCAGTTGTTCTAATTTTGTTTCCAACATGCATTTCCTTAAGAATGGGGCTAATGAATTTATACTATAGTTCTTGAAATTGAAAGATTTGTAATGCTCAAACTGAAATTACTTGAATTCCCTTGGCAGTTTTAATAATTGATAAATTGGATGCTTTTAGACCAGTAATGAGCAATTATTATTTCTGTGCTATGATAGTTAATGAAAACATTACAAGTACAAAGTCCATAAGGAACATTTTGCTTAAAATAATGTTTAGAATTTCAAATGTGTAAAATCTTTATCATTAGTAATATAATTTATGTACAGTCTGTTGGAAAATAAAAATTTTCATCCGTCCTAATTAATTGGAAATAATAACATTTGTTGTTAGAGACACCATGCCAATTTATTTTTATCCATTAAAGAGAGTTAAAGAGATTTGTAGATGTCTGTACAAAAATCAGTTTGAATAGATTTGCTATGTTATTGGACGCAAAATACTCTAGAGTTATCTTGCAAAATATGCATGTGTATGGGAACACTATCACTTGCAATTTCTGCTCCAAACCACTCACCATCCTTACTTAGAAATCGATCATCATTCCTTTGCTGTCACTGGGTCAAAATCCTGGAATTCCCTCCCTAACAGCATTGTGGAATGTGAACTGCAGCAACTCAAGAAGGCAGATCACCACCGCCTTCTCAAGGGCAACTAGGGACAGGCAATAAATGCTGCTCCAGCCAGCGATGCCCACATCCCACAAGTGAATAAAAACAAACAAAAATTGTAACTCTCTTCCACAATACACTGATCACTGAGGGGTCTAATTCAAGACTTATTACCAAAATCGCTAAGATATAGATAATTCTGAATGAGAGTGAATTTCTGTTGGACTGGAACAAAAGGGGAGAAAAGATGCATAATTCTGCATATGCCTAACAGAGCTGAGGGTGGAATCTTGTTGAGGTATTGGAGGTCCCTCTTACAGGCTGAGAGCCAATGAAAAGGCAATGAAATGTTGAGGCGACTCGGCAGGACTATCCCAGGAAACAAAACCCTGGGGGTGGTAGCTTTGCTAATTAGATGCTAGTAACCACTATACTTCGCAACACCAATGTATCTGCTGAGTGACCCAGGTCACAGTTAAGTAATGTGGTGGAGGATTTTGCAAGAGGAATAATGGTGTTCGGCAACTCCAATTCCTGATGGTCAGGCCTTTGATGAGACACTGAACACCTGTGATTTTGGGACCTTCACCAAGCCCCACCCCAGCAGAGGTGTTGAGTTGACTGCATGTTTTTTTTTTAATGTTGCACACATTTTTTGTTTCTTTATTCATTCATGGGATGAGGGCGTTGCTGGCCAGGGAGCATTTATTATCCATCCCTAATTGCCCAGAGGGCAGTTAAGAGTCAGCCACATTGCTGTAGGTCTGGAGTCACATGTCGGCCAGACCAGGTAGGGATGGCAGTTTCCTTCCCTGTAGGACATTAGTGAACCAGATGGGTTTTACCCACAACCCACAACCCACACACTGTCATCATTAGATTTGTAATTCCAGATATTTTATTGAATTCAAATTCCAGCAAGGGCTGTGGTGGGATTTGAACCTGGGTCCCCAGAATGTTGTCTGGATCTCTGGGTTAACAGTCCAGCGATAATACCACTAGGCCATTGCCTCCCCTGGAAGGGATTGCATGGCAGCAGCAGACCAGCTGGCAGTAGCAGCTGAATGAGGTCCCTCATTGATTCCATTGCAGCAGGGACAGGAATGTTGTCCTTGACCTTAATGCAGGTGGAGGTGGAAAGGCAGCAAGGTTCAGGCATGCCACCGTTTTGCCTGATTACATAGAATAGAACCCACATGTACAAAATCAGACCTTGTGAATCCAGAGTTGCACATTCTACAAAGGCGTCCTCATGTCCCCATTGAAAGTCAGCAGCCTTCTGTCAACCATGCAGTAGTTACAGGGCAGGACTAGGGCAGGCAAAGGCACATGGAAGACTGGAAGGAAGGATATACAAAAGGGGAATTAGCCTTTTCTGTGCAATGTAGAATGTTGAGATTGATAAATTTGGTTTGGAATTGTTTGTTTCGTTTTGGTGTTTATATTTGTATCAACATCAAGTGACCACGTCAGCGACAAAGGGTGGGAATGTTTGGTGAATGAGGAGCTTGGGTTGCATTTACTGCACTAGTTATTTATGGACATGCAGCCAGAAAGGGGCAGTGAGGCTGGTCTCCTCTCTTCCTGTTTCTCCTGCTCTTTGGCTGCCTGCTGTGTACCCTGTACTGGAAGCACCAGAACAGAGTAATTGTACATTGAGTTCCCTGCACCCTGTTACAGGGGTTGTGGAATTTTAAACTCTATATTTATTCCTTGGAAACAGTTGCTTTAAGTCAGAGAGTGAAAAACTCATTATGCTTTGTTTAGGAGAGATTTTTGTATGTTCAAGTCAGACTTCATCTTGACTTTCAGACAGAGAGTTAAAGCTAGCTGGTTTTCAGAAGGACACAGAGTGTGTGCAAACAGTTTTTCAAGCATGCTTCAATGAAGTTAAGGTAGACAATCTCACAGCTGCCACTAGAATAGAAAGTATTCACAACATTGTTGCTCACTCCTGCTTTAAATGTTTCTGACCCTGTATCTGAACCAGTGGAGCAACTGATTGAATATTAGCTGGCATAGAAAGTTCCATATTTTAATCCTACTCTTTTTTTTTGTGATCTAACTGTTGGTGTTAATTCAATTTTATCCATCATTTTGGTGTCTCATTTACAAAAAACAAAATCTGCCTATAATTGGACGTACCCTTGGATGAGGACCCATTTTCAAGATTTTGTGCAGAAACTTGGGTGTGGGCTAAAATGGACAACACTTTCAAAGAACCAGCACAGGCTCAAAATGCCAAATGGCACCCCCCTGTGCTGCATTACTTTCTTTCCTTCATTGCTGTTGCTTTAATCAGTCGGAAGATCACCCAGCTAAATTTTTCTCTCTACTTTTATCTCACTTACATCTACAAAAAGGCCGATCTATTGAAAAGAAGCATCAACTATTGTCTTCCAACTCCTTCAACAGATAGGTTTGAGTTTGTATTCTTCAATGGGCAGGTGACCTGTCACACACAGGGCAAAATGCCTTCAAGTCTTAATGAATAACTTATACAGACATTATTTCATGCTGGCAATTTTTGCAGAGCTTGGTCAAATATCCCATGTTACTGTGATAAAAAATTGGCAGAAACCCTGCATAATAGGAATGGATGCAAAGTTGTGAGGGGCAGATATTCTGCTCTCAAACAAGCACTGAAAATGCTGGAGAAGCTCAGCAGGTATAGCAGCATCTGGGGCGAGAGAAATAGAGTTAACATTTTGAGTCTAGTATGAATGTTTGGAGCCAGGACAGCTTCAGAACAGATTCTGTTCTGCTGGTTTATGCTTAAGGTAAAAATTGCTCCCATTTCCTTAACCAAGCCTAAAAATTTCAAAATATTTCCTTATATTAGGTCCTGAGAACAAGTTAATGCCTCTAGAAAAAGTAGATAGATAAAGTAGGTAGATTATTGCTTATCAGCATGGTTTTATTTATTTTACCAGCTAATTAACTTGTACAGAAGCATGCCTTTGCTTGATTTATGAATGTAACTTGCTTGTTGGTTTTAAAAGATCATTTGTGTATGGTAACATCCTGTGCTATTTCCAGTATGTACTACAGTGCTGTAAAGGATTCATTGTGAACCCACTAGTTGATATGCCAGATGTTTTGCGTGCACAGTCACGTTTTGGTTCATAGTACGTGCCGGCTTGCCAATAGTAGCTGCTTTTTGTTGAGAACATGAATAAATAATTTTGCAGTCCAAGTTGTAGCATGGAGGAGGATTTTGCCATTCCTAATGGGATCACTGTTTTTGATTTTTCTCGGGATATGAATATTGGCATGACTGGTCAAATGGGCTCCTCCTGAACTAGAAGGGCCATCACAATGCCATCCTAAATAGCATTAATTTAAAATGTATTGTCAAATTAATTTGTCAAACTTTTTTTGCAACTTATAATTTTTATTTTTTGCAGGTTTACTGTAGTGTATCAGCCTTCTTGAGGGGTTCTCCAGATATACGTAGTTTTCCCAGGGATAGTGAACCATTCTTCGCTGGGATTAAGGTGAATTAAATGTGTAAATGTAAATAAGTATTTAATTAATATGAAATATTAAATGTATTACTAAAAAAGACTGAATATCTTATTGCATACTGACATTAAAAGTAAAAGATGCTCTTCAGCAAATTTAAAATTAATGCAGATACAGAGGAAATATTCTCTGATATGTTGTGATGTAAGTTGGAAGGGTTAGTGAGCAATTCTGTAGTATAAGATGCATCGGGATTTTTGAATTAAGTCTAGCCGTGTAAAGGTATTTCCCATCATGTGATATAATTTGCTACTTTCAATTTCTGGTGGAAATCCTTCAGGTAAAATTTTACTTTAATCCTGTTTCTGTTTGGAGTTGCAAGGTCAATGCAGACAGTCACTTGAAGAACAGGAAAAGTAGTGCTGTTGAATTGTTTTCATAAACTAAAGAGAGAGGAGTGTTTCTGGAAAGATAACTGTTACCTGCAGGTAATTCCATGCTAAATTGCCGATAGTGCCCAGGGATGTGCAGGCTGGCTGGTCTAGCCACAGGAAATGCAGGGTTACAGGGATAGGGTAGGGGTTGGTGGATCTGGGTGGAATGCTCTTCAGAGGGCTGGTTTGGACTCGATGGGCCGAATTACCTGCTCCCACACTGTAGGGCTTCTATGACTCAATAAATAAGAGAGATAATATTCTGAGTCTCCATCCAGCCTGGATGCAGGTAATATGGGGAAATATAGGAGATTACAAGATCACAGTCTCATGATAACGAGGCGATCGTTTAGGACTGAGATGAGGAGATAGCCCTTCACTCAAACAATTATGAATCCATGGCATCTCTACAGTGCGGAAACAGGCCGTTTGGCCTAACAAGTCCACACGAACTTCCAAAGAGCATCCCACCCAGATCCATTCCCCACCCTTTCCCTGCCACCCTATATTTCCCATGGCTAACACACCTAACCCACACATTGCTGAACGGTGGGCAATTTATCGTGGCCAATCCATCTAACCGGCACATCTTTGGACTGTGCCAGGAAACCAGAGCATCCGGAGGAAACTCACAAAGATGCGGGGAGAATGTGCAAACTGCACACAGACAGTTTGGAGGGTGGAATCGAACCCGGGTCCCTGGCGCCGTGAGGCAGCAGGGTTAACCACTGAGTCCACTGTGCCGCGCTTTCAAATGAATCTTTCAAATTCTCTGCCCAGGAGAACTGTAGATGCTCTGTCAATGAATATATTTAAGACACCGATTCCAATCCTTTTATTCGTGTGTTCTGAGATGGCAAAGGGCCATATCATAGAGAGATTTGAAGACAAATATGAGGAAGTTTCATCAGAGAACATGACTTAACAAAACCCAGCAGATTTTCCCCAGATTTGTAAAATTATATACATGGGAGCAAGGATATACAAGATGTGTATATGAAGTTTCTCAGTACTTGCAGGCAACTACAGGAAGTAATACATAGTTATCCAATGCTGAACATTCTGCTGCAGGGTATTCAGTGGCAGGCCATGGTCATCTCCTATTAGAAGGTTCTGGGCCAATTCTCTCATGCCTAATGTGGACCTGTTGAAGCTCCACCACAACATGTAGACAAAATATTTTACCAGCTCAGTCTATAGGGAAGGCAGATAATTGTCTAGCTTATCACGAGCTTCTTTAAAACTCTATATTTTACAGAAATGGTTGCTTAAAAATTATCCCCTAAAGTAGCAAGATGACTTTCAGGAACAGCTAATAGCCATTAAATCTAATAAATCCAATCCAGTTTAAGTGTCAACCTCATATTCTAAACCTACACAAATTAAGCTACAACTTAAATATTTTATTACTTAGGGCATCTTGTTTTAGCAAAGATATCAAAATTATGACGAGGATAAGAAAGAGAATGGCTAAAATGATATTATACATGCCATGCTTTTTCAGTTATGAGGAGAGACTAGAGAAATTGGATTTATTAAAATATTTACCATTCAACAGTAATCTAATAGAGGTTCTCAAAATTATAAGAACTTTTGATTGAAATAATTCTGGAGAAACTTTACATTGGTGAGTTAGTAGCTAGAACTCAGAATCATCAAGAAAAGAAGGAGCTAATTAGGACAAATTTACTACTTACTAAAGTAAGTATGGAATGCATTTTAAAATTTTGATTCTTATTTTCAGGTTCCTCACAGGTCTTGACCCTCCCTTTCACTGTAATCTTGCCAGCCCTACAACCATCTAAGACCTGAATGCTCTCCCGATGCTGGCTTCTTACACAACTTTTATTGCAATCACTCCAGCACTGGCAACCAAATGTTCTCCTGCTTATGCTCTAAGCTCCAAAATTCCCTCCATAAGCACCTACTGCTCTACCGTTCTCTCTATTGAAGCATTCTTTAACATAGTGATGTAGAAAGTAGGAGCAAGAGTAGGTCATTATAGGCCATAATATTGGATAAGATAAATATACATTTAAAGGGAAATCAGTTAATACCAGAAAATCAACATGGCTTTGTCAAGTGCAGGTCATATCTGACAAATTTGATTGAGTTCTTGAGTTGCCAAAAAGATAGGAAACAGAGAGTAGGTTAAAAAAAATGGACATTTCCCAGATTGGAGATTAGTTGAAAGTGGTGTTTCCTGGGATTGATGGACTCTTGCTTTTTCTGATTTATATAAAAGGTTTGGACATGGATGTTGAGGGCAAAATCTCTACATGTGCAGATGATACTAAGCTAGAGTTGGACGAAGGGTCTGTTTCTGTGCTGTATGACTCTATGACTAGAGAGAACAGTGAATTATGAGGATGACGCTGACCGATTTCAGAGGGACATTGACAACTTCGCCAAATGGCAGATGAATTTTAATGCAGAGAAACATGAGGTAATGCATTTTGATGGAAGAAACATAGAGAGACAATACAGACTCAATGGTACAAGAATTTTGACAGGTAAAGAAGGATATTCTGTTTCCACTAGTTGGTATGTTAGTACCACTAGTTGGTATCTCAGCAAGAGAACTAGGAGTGAGATGAGAAAAAACATCTTTACTCAGAGAGTTGTTGGGATTTGGAATGCAGTGCCTGAGAGAGTGGTGGAGGGGGATTCCATCTAAGGTTTCAAAACAGAGCTGGATGTATATTTGAAAGTTTAAAAGCTGAGACCAGCTGGCTAACTCTTTCAGAAGCCAATACAAACACAATGGGTCAAATAGCCTCCTTTCGTACGTAAAATTTTATTATTCTATTAGGCTTTTTGATCTGCTCCGCCATGCATTTCTGATCATGGCTGATCATCAAACTCAGTACCCATTCCTGCTTTCTCCCCATGTCCTTTGATCCATTTGACCTTAAGAACTGCATCTTAACTCCCTCAATGTTCGGTCCTCATTCGCTGTCTGTGGTATGTTGTGAAGTTGGGTACAGTACTTGTGGGTTGGAAGGCAGTGAGTTAGAATTTGGTATTTGTAAAATGCTAGGGGGAAAGCAGTGCGTGGCCCCTTAAAAAGATGATGTCCTTTTTCTGTGCTTAGAGATCCAGAAGGATATCTGTGGGCAGCAGCTTCTGGGTTTGCAGGTACACAGACAGCACTTGAATTGAAACATTTGTATCAAAATGCCACTCAGTTAGCAGGCCAAGCTGCAGTTTTACCAAGACAACAACGTTTTGAATCTAGCCAATCAATTTGAAACAGGCACTTAGATACCAAAACTAATTAATTTTTTTTTTTCTGAAGAAGGGCCTAGGCCCGAAATATCAGCCTTCCTGCTCCTCTGATGCTGCTTGGCCTGCTGTGTTCATCCAGCTCTATACCTTGTTATCTTAGATTCTCCAGCATCGGTAGTTCCTGCTATCTCTAAATTTAAATCTGATGGTTTTGACAACATAGGACCAATCCTATTGTCAGAAATTGATATATCATCAAGGGTATAAAAGAAGGAGCAGTTGCGCAAAGACGGGAAAGCAAACTGCCATCTGCCAGAGTTAACAGCTCTTAGCTCTCAAGAGGGAATCACTGGCTCTCACTGTCTCCTCGAAGTTTTAGAGAAAGCACCATCTAAATCAAAGGTACTTACAGCACAACTAGTTCATATTCCTGACAGAGGAATCGACAGACAGAACAATTGATAGAGAAGGCACAGAACATTCTGGAAGACACATAATCTGGCTGTAATTTCAAGAGAATAAATTCTACTTTTTTATTTTATATATGTGGAACTTTTATTCACTGGAACAGCACACCATTACAATCTTGTTTTATTTGGGAATAGTTAGTAATTAGAAGGAGTTTATTCAGTTTGTTAACAGTTTATCTAATTTGTTCGCTGTTAGAGTTAGATAAATAAATTGTTACTTGTTGATTTTAAAGTGAGTGTCAGGGATTTCTTTTAGTTAACCACTAGAAGTTGCTGAAAGGCAGGTTACACCACTTTTCACATTCCATTTACAGATTATAGGGTGAGGCGCTTCTCTTTGGGTATTTCGGTTTTGGTTCTCCGAGGGGGTCAACCTCTGCTTTATAACAGGTAGAAAATTCCATAGCGTCATCAGTCTCTGGGTGAAGATATTTCTCCTCATTCAGTCCTAAATGGCCTACCCTATACTTGTAAACTGTGACCCCTAGTTCTGGACTTTCCAAATAACAGATACAATCAACCTGCATTAACGCTGTCTTGTGCTGTTGGGAATTCTAATGATTTCTGTGACCAACACCCCCGCCACTCCTGTCCCAGCCATTCTTCTAAACTCCAGTGAATATAGATGTAACCTGTCCAGTATCTCTTCATACATCAGTCCAGCCATCTCAGGAATCACTCTGGTAAATCTTTGTTGCACTCCCTCCAAGGCTAGGACACCCATTGTGAGATAAAAAGACAGTGTCTGCATACAGTACCCCAAAGGTCTCTCCAAGGGTTTGTACAATTGCAGCAAGACGTCCCTACTCTGTACTCAAATCTACTTACTGTGCAGGCCAACAGACCATTTGCTGCCTTCACTGCCTACAACACTTGTATGCTTACTTTCAGCGACTTATGTACAAAGACACCCAGGTCTTGCTGCATCTCCTCTTCCCAATTGCCATTCAGATAACGTATCTGCTTTTGCTACCAAACCTCACAGTTATCCACATTCACCTAACTTTTTAAACAAGTTGTCTAAACAACCTCCATTCTCATTCTTCCTTATAGGACTTGTTATCAAATGTCCATTTTGATAATATTCCTGTGAATGACCATGGAATGTATAGCTGCATTAATGGTGTTTTATAAGTTCAAGTTGCTGCTGCTGACAAACTTATTCTTGTAAAATTGCTCCTGGAAAGAATGTGAAGAGCTTTTAAAAATGCATTTTTGGAACCAGTCTGTGTAGTAATTAACTGGGAAAAAGATTGTCTTCATAATCAGTAACTAGGGATATTTACAACTGGAATGGCTTGTAATGTTTTAACTTGAAAAATTTTTCAAACATTGGAAAGATTGCTTTTTAAAATTTCTTTCTTACTTTCAAACAGTTTGACCCAGTGTCTTTGCAAATCACAGAAGATGGTAAAGCACATATGTTGTTGATCCAAAGTACCATCCCTATCGTTTGTCTGGAAGAAGGTCAGGATGTAAACAGTTGTAAAATAGCACTGCAACTCACTATTAATGATTCAGGTAAGACTTTAAATTTGTGATGGATCTCCAGGATTGTACATTTTATGTCAATGTGTTTATGTGTTATGTGTCATGTGTTTGGTAAAGCAGCCAATCAAGCATGGCTACTAATTTAAAATAGAATAATTACTAGATGTTGTGTGCCCAGATGTTTAAATCAAAAAAAATTGTTTTATATTGTTTTTATTAAGCAACACATTTCCTTTGTTCATTATCTCTGATGTCATTTACCTACCTCCCACCCTTGGCAGAAATGGTTAACTCATTCTCTTTACTGATGCTCAACTGAAATATCTGAGAGTGAAAAATCAAGAATATGCTGAATATTTTTGCCAGTTGTCATTTTCCACGGCATATGTATTTTAAGCAGTTGTTATCAAAAGTATTTCTGCCTGGACAACATAATTTAACATTTTAAAGCTCATTTGCTTTCTCTGAAAACACTCAAATTACTTTGTGAATTTAATGACCTGTGTGTGAAAACTCATTTATTTTAATCTAATGCAGAAGTTCAGCCATTACTTTAGGATTAATATATCAAATGGCTGCATAAAAATAATGTAATACTTCACATTATACATCTCTGACAACAGCGAAATAGCAGAAACATCATCCACTCTGGAAATAATAATATACAAATCTGCAAAATCTGTTGGTTTGAAATAAACAGGCTAGCCAATTTGTTGAAATAATCAATTTGAAATTTCATAGAAATATATGAAATTCTGAAAGATGATGACTGCATGGGATAATTTTCAGCCTCTGTCATTTAGGCACCTTGGGCAATGTAGCATTGTTTGAATGAGACAGCGAGTAAGTAAACTGCTCCCATCCCCCAGTCAATATTTTACTGAAACAGTCCACTCATGACTGGTTCCTTTAATCTGGTATAATGTTCTTTGTTATTCCTTTAGTCCCTCCAGCTATAGTTTATTTGGCGAACTACTAATGACAGTGAAGTGGAGATCTGAATACCATTTCTGAATTAAGTCTCAAAAGTCAATATTAAAACACAAATAAAACAAAACTATGTCTTCGAAGTGTTACATGAGTGTGAAGATTATTATAATCACTTAGCAATTTAGAAATGGTATTGGAATTAGCTTGTCCAGATTTACGATTTTTCATTGTTTGTTTCCAAATATGAAAGAATTCCATAGGTTGGGAAGCCATTAAAATGTGTGGTAAGAAAGCAGAGCTCTCGGTATTATTTCTCAAGAGTGTTTATACATCAATTCTCATTTACAAGCAAGAAACATCGACAGCTGAGATCACCCATCGGACAACACTATTCACTTTGTGCTAGAGAATAAGCACAGGCATATTAGCTCAAAGGCAGAAAAATATAATGTACTGAAATGAGCACTTTGGCAGTTGGCTCATTCTGCACCTCAGCCAGAAATAGCAAACTCCAGTAATCCCTGTTCCTGTTCCATGATAATACTTACCACAGCAAATTATGTTTTTGCAAAATCAAAATTAAATATGCTTTTCAAGCCTGGCAACTTATGTTTTGCAATCACATCTGTTGCCTTCTAACTTGCTTTGCTGTGCTTTGTATTTAAAGGAACAGAGCTGTTAGATTTTAAAATACATTTGTTAACACTGCTGTTGTTATTGCCAACTCCAGCTGAATAAGTATCTGATTCAAGCAATGAGTCCCATTGTATCAAACCAAATCCACTCTGTAGAATTCCAGGTCCAATGTTGGAAATTACATTTAAAATTTTAAAACTGATCTCAATATTTACTTTTAATGCCCTGAACATTATGTAACAAAGAGAATAAGTGATCTGTCAAGCTTTTGTGCTTTGAAAGACCAAGCCCTTTGTGCAAAATGATTTTTAGCCACAGCTCTGGTATTGTTTAGATTGGCTTGCTGAATGCATGATTACCTAGGCTATGAAACAAAGGTTTAATTGCAGTTTACACAAATCTGGTTTGGCAAATATTCATCGGAGCATAAAATATCTTGGCAAAAAATGCTGCTGGCCTGCTACCCAAACACATCAGCTGGAAAACGATGGAAGGTTAAGTGGCTGGGAAGCACCTGTTGAGCCCAAGCATGGACGGGGTGACTGAGATGGTTTAGAAAAGAGGAGGGACCTAAACTTCCCTTTGTGATCCGAAAGATCACTTGAGCACATCCTGACTTCAAGAGTAAAATAGTTAAATAGCTGGATTATGGACTGGAACGGATTCCCTGCAGTGCGCACAGTTTGCTCTGCTGAGACCGAGACAGCGGTAAAAATTCAACATCACCGAAAGGAATTTGCATTTATGAAGAGCCTATCATGGCATCAATATAACCTAAAGTATTTTTGAATTAATGAATTAGATTTTATTGTCATGTACAGGGTGATAGTACAGGGGTACAGGAATACAGTGAAAAGTATACGAAGTCACCATTCCCAGTGTTATCTTAGATGCAAAGGTACTTAGGTACAAAATCTTGGGTATAAAGTAGAAAATAAAGAAGTAGGGAAATAAGGAAGGATTGAAGTAGTCATATAAAATGCAAAAAAAAAGTAGCATTCACTTTATGTACAGCAATTGCAAAAATTAGTTGTTCCAAATTGCTGAAAAGAGAATCTGACACAGAAAAATGTTCTGAGTGGAAAATGGTGCCTTTTATAGCATGTTAGGAGATGTTAGCTTAGTCAGAATGTGGTTGGCTCAATATGGCTGGACAAAAGCAGCTTGATCTAGATAAAGTGAAGCAAGTAGACACAGTGTACAAGTAGAGGGGGCATGCACGTAAAATTAACAGCGATATGTTTGTTTCTCTGTAAAATCAGAAAAAAAAAGTTGAGGACAAAGGAATTTGGCTGTAAAACAAAACTGACAGTACATTAATACAGAATGAAATTTGACAAATACAATTGTAAGTCAGAACTATTCAAAGAATCGGAAAGGATAGTATTCAGGTATTTGTTGATTTTACAAAAGACATTTGTCCAAGAATGAATGTCCTTGGGCAAACAGACAGGTGAGATTAAATATCCAGCTGAGAAACAGTAATGCTTCCATGGTAGGCAATAAAAATGAAAGTTGGAACAAATGTGTACATAGGATAACTGAAATGGTGTGTAACACTCTGATAGATGACGAGTAGTAGATTAGCCTCATTGAACAGTGAGACTAACAAAAGAGTACAAATTTAAGATTAGCATTAAAATAACTACAGGGGAAGTTAGAAAAACCCAAGAGAGTACTGTAATGATGGAATTCCCCGCCTTAAACAGTTCTTGAAACTGAACCCATAAGTTCATTTAGACCATAACTAATTTGCTTGAAAATGGTGAATATTTCAGGCAAACAGGTGAATGGGATTAGGCTAAGTGTTTAATAGATGAAAAGCCAGCACAGAGTTGATAGCCCAAATGGCCTGTTTCTATGTAGCAGCTTCCCTTGACATCAGAACTAGTTTTCTTCTTGAAAATCAAAAATGTATCCATGTGCTACACATATTCCTTTCAAAGTTGAAGCATTGTACCTTACAGTGATCACAAATGAGACTTAAAATCCACTAGACTTCGGGGATAGTTATTGAATTAGCAGTTTCTATTTTTGTCACAACTAAACCTCGACTGTGATTGTTATTGGCTGTTTTTACGGTGGCCATTAGAACAAACAAAGAACAAAGAAAATTACAGCACAGGAACAGGCCCTTTGGCCAACAAGCCTGCGCCAATCCAGATCCTCTATCTAAACCTGTCGCCTATTTTCCAAGGATCTGTATCCCTCTGCTCCCTGCCCATTCATGTATCTGTCTAGATACATCTTAAATGATGCTATCGTGCCCGCCTCTACCACCTCCGCTGGTAACGCGTTCCAGGCACCCACCACCCTCTGCGTAAAGAACTTTCCACGCATATCTCCCTTAAACTTTTCCCACTAATAAACTTATTAGCCACCATCTGTGCGTATAAGACAAGAAGGAGTAGCTACCAGAAACAAATATTTCTAACAGATCTTCATGAAACTAGATGGTTTGGAAGAGAAACTTTAGTAGAAAGAAAGTAAATTGGAGAATTAGCTTGACCCTATCCTGCTTCAAATGTTGAAATTATTAGATTAAATATTGAACATGTCTTGTATTATACCTTACCACCTGCAAATGCAGGCTCACACTTGTTCCACAGGTTTCAAAAGTTCCATTTGTTGATGTGTTTTCAGATAGTCTGGGTTCCACAACCCTGAACATAGCACTATCCTCATGCCAGGTGGATTTGGTACAGATGCCTGCTTGTACAGGTGGCAGCTGTGCAAGAAGCTCACTCTCTGTGATGGCTGTAACTGATTTTGCACGCGATGGAAATCGTGTCAGCAGTATTAGAATTGAGCCAATTCAATCAAAACATCTCCTTTGGCGGGGTTACTCCCCAAAGGAAATAAAGGTCAGTATCAAAGAAAACATTTTAGTAGCTTTAACAGATGGTTGTTCTGTATTTCACTCTCAAAAGTCATGAGCATACTCATCGAATATCAATGTGTGAAATTGTGAATCATGTACTACAATTGAAATAGAAAGTAACTCACCATTTGCAATCTCAGAGATGTTGTAAATGGGTCCTCTTGTCTTCTCTACACATGAAATCAGTGAACACTGTACACCGAAATAAATTCTCAGGCAATGTTGGTGTAACTCTCCAGGTGAGTTGCCTGGTCTAATCCTGTGATTTAATTTACTTCCCATGTAGTTTAATGTCCGTTTTGTAACTTACTTATACTTAGCATTTTTTCCTTTTTTATTTCCCCCACTGGACACACTGGTGGGAGAAATTAATTTGAGTAATGGCAGGTACTTAGTTGAACCATGTTGCATTGTTCAACAATGTTAGTCAAGATACTGTGCTGCCTATCCCTGGGGAATCAATCTGAATAGGCAACACTAGGGGCTGCATTTTATGAGAAATCAAGTAAGTGTCAATTTTGGCAGCTTTCGTGGAGGGTTTCTCTCCCTTTAGTTCTAGTGAGTTTTCTCACGTTATTCTCCGCAACTCACCTCATTACTGGTTCAAGACACTTCTAAGGTGCCCCTGTCTTCCTATCTTCCTTCTCACCAGAGGGGGTACATGCCCCTGCTGAGAGCTTATGGGAATCCTGGTGTTTGCAACATATCCAAAGCCCAGCCATACACCAGGTCAAACACTGCCAGGCAGGCAGTGACTCTTCACCGTACTATTAGTGGGTAGTGCAGTTGGGAGGGTTTAGTAGGATATGGGCCAAATACTGGCAAATGGGACTAGAGTAATTTAAGATACCTGGTTGGCATGGATGAGTTGGACCAAAGGATCTGTTTCCGTGCTGTACAACTCTATGACTTTATAACTCTAATGGGAGGCAAATAAAATAAACACTCCTCAGGGCCCATGAGTGGCATGACTGATTCTTTGTTGCAAATTCAAGTACACATTCATAAATGTATTTCTATTTAAGAACCAAGCTACCCAGGTTACCCTCCCTTTGTGTCAATCTGTTTTATAAACTTACCCAAGTGAGTGCTACTGTTTTCCTAACGTTCGGTACAGCACAATATTTCCCTTCATTCAATATGGAACACATTTAGGAGGTTGAAAAGGTTCATTTTTATTTGGCAACAGGAGAAGCAAAGAGAAAAACAAACAAAAATCTCCATTTGCTGTGGAAACAGGCTGCTTGCCTTTCAAGCGGCAATAAATTTATATTCAGTGAGTGATGACCTACACCTAGCTTACATCGATTGTAACCAGGTATTCATTAAACCCTGGGACAACACAGTGTGGAGCTGGGGAAACACAGCAGGCCAGGCAGCATCAGAGGGGCAAGATGACTTCAACCTGGACTGTGAAAATGCCTGATTAATGTTGTTTCCCCCTGAAGGGCCTCCCATCACTCACAAGTAGAGCCCTGTGCTCAGGCAGGAAAGACACTTATTTTGCTGACACTTGGGTGTAGTTGCAGCCATTTTCCATTTGCAGTGTGCATTTGCGATTCACCTGAGTATGGAAGGCAACATAGTTGTGGCCCCCTTCCCGCACTTCCAATGGCCCCCCTCCCCTCAACATCATGCACTTTGTCACACCGTCAATTTAACTCTCAACTACCATCAGTAAAATGGGTGAACTGCTTGTTTGCTGCTTGTCAGAGCTGACTGTGCACATTACAATGGTAACAGAAATTCATAAGTAATTAATTGGCTTTGAGCCTCTGTGGTATCCTGATCTGACAAAGAGCGTATTCTGCTGATTGGACAAAGAACATATTCTACCCTCTAGCCCACCCCCTCTTCCCCTCTCCCCCTCTCCCCCTTTGCACTGGACAGCTCCCCCTCCATCCCCTGATCATCCTCCCATGCTTAGCAGTATGGCCTGTTCAATTTTAATTTCATGGTATCCTCTGTATTCTTCTGCTCAGCAGCCAATCCACAATGGGTAGAAAATAGCAGGAGGTCAGCAGGAAGGAACAGGATTTCACGAGGCTGTTGGCTGGGACTTAATGAAAGTTGTCCATATGGAGGAGAATTGTGGATTGGGTACTCCTTCTACTAATTGTATCAAGAACCTAACAAAAAATGTTAAGTAAACATTTCTGTTTGAGCCTCTTCTTTCTACTGTCTTCACCAGATGAAAAATCCAGATCATTTTTTTTGCCACAGTTAAAATTGTAGTCAGTTCATATGATGACCTCAGACCCTTATCTGCATATTTAAAAAGGAGCCCAATCAGCTTCTGGTAGGGATGTCTTGGCAAGTTAATCACCTGACCATTGGCTGCCAGCCTGACCAGTTTCTGGTTCAAATTACTTTAAGTTTTGGCACTGTATATTTGATGTCCTTATGACTTTAATTGCATGGAAAAGATTTTGACTTGTATCAACTCAGGAGAAACACTTCTAAGGCTAAGGTTCTGAAGCAAAATTATAAACTTGCATTCGCATATTATGGAAGTAATGAAGCCCATTTAATTGTATATTGTTCTTGCCAACTTAAATTGGGCAGTAAACTAATCTGTGCATTTGACAGATTTGCCATTAAAAACAATAGCTGCTACTTCAGTGTGTTTTCAACTTTAGTTGTAAACAGACGGCGTTTAATTACTCAGAATACATAATGCTCCTGTTTAAAGTGGAAACTGTAAATGTTTAAAAGTGTTGCTGAGCTGAATAAGTCTGTTGAATGTAACCAAGAGCTATTGTTACATCTAACAGAATGAGCTCTGTTCACTGGTGCCTGAAACACATTAAACGGGAACACCAACACACTTAGCTTAAGTAGTGTTAGATCAAGACGTGTTTGGTGCAAGGTTTTTAATCTGTAAAGAAGCAACAGAAAAGAGATACGCAAGAACTACCAGTGACTATTTGTCCGAGCAGCTCTGCAGTAATTTGTTTATATGAAACAATATGCCAATAAGAGTAAAAACCATGTGCTTAGTTGCGTGAGCTGTGTAATTTTAAAACTGGGTGTAGTTTGAAGCAGATTACATTCCATTAATATATTTGAAATTGTGTTCCTGATGAAAGAACTGAAATTATGAAAGAGTCACTACCCCACACTGAATAATTATTTATTTACAGACCCTTTTGTAATGTGATATTATTGGCAGTTCATTTCTTTGTGTCATTAGTAAATTTAGATGAGAGGTAAAAATTAATAGTTACTTGTATAACACAGGCTGTGCTATAATTTCTTTTTATTTATTTTTCTTCACCTAGGTGATCGTTCAAGACCTCCCAACAGGAAATTGTTATTCTTTCACTGATCCCCATATTATCACCTTTGATGGCAGGTCAGTTTTTAATGATATCAAAGTTGTTATATTTATAAGGAATTCTGTGTGCAGCAAAATGTCAGATGCTAGTGCTGGGAATTAAACTTTTTTTGTCTCTTTTAGCATCTAGTTTCAGTACTAGGTTCTGCTATTTTAGGTGTTCATTGCCAATGAAGGTTAGACATATGTGGTTGGGATTTACATGGAGTCACAGCTCCTGGTTACTGGTTGGAAAATCGGGTTGAACTCTCTTCCGCTGGCCTGGAAGCCATGACTGGACTTTTTGGACACAAGATGTTAAGCGTCAAGTTGTAAGTTTCATCCGTCATGTGGGAAGATGCGCACCTACAAGAGCCGCTGGCCAAGCAGTTGGCACCAGCTGGTTAGCCTCAGCAGCACCAATAGGAGTGGTAGCCATGGCTGGGACTGTAGTCTGTTCCTGAAGTAGAGCCAAGTATGGGCCTGATTTGGATGGTAAGTGGGACACTCTTCCCTGGCTCTTAGGCAGGTCCAGGACAGGGAGTGGGGCTGCAAACAGGCTTTGGAGAGAGATCACAGCTTACAGGGAGGCTCATTCACCTGGGGGGGATCAGGCCTTGGCACAGGGTACCTGAACAGAATGCCCTTGTGAATGTGCTTGAGAGTATGTAAAGGTCAGGCTATAGAGTGACAATTTGGATTTTTTTTCTATGTATGTGTTCCCCTACCCAGAAAGGGAAGCCAGTAAAACTTGCAAATGACACAAACTGTTCTGACTTGTCTTGTTTGCTTCATAAAGAAGTTCCAGTTTGTTCATTTCAAGTATTACTGCTTTTGTTTTACTAGCTTTTCTCTCTGGGTCATGATTCAATTGCAAGTCTTTGAAATAAACTTCCACTGCCAAAATTCTGTACTTGTTCATTATTCTGAAATTTCAAATGTGTTTGCCCTCAAAACGAATGATTATTCTACTTGCAGACATCTGTTTTTTTTTGGATTAAACATAACGTGATCCAATAAGACCCGCTTCTGCCCAGAGTCTGACCCTGTACCTTCCATAACCTTGGGTCTGTGCTGATTGACCTTGGCTTGCTTCACATCTCTGATTTTCATCACTCTAACCTAGGTGGCTGTGTACTCAAATGCCTCATCTCTTATCTCGGAATTCCTTCAGTAAAGCTTCCCACAACTCCATCTCTTTCATTATTTTAAAAGTTTCTTTAAAAGCTACTTCTTTGATCCACCTTTTGAACACCTGTCCTAACATTGCCCTACGTGGCTTGGTGTCAGATTATTTTTATATCACTCCACCCTCGTAAAACATTCTATCTACATTAAAGGAGCTATATAAATGCAAGTTGTTGTTATGATTCTTACACCTCAGAGCAAATTGTAGAGCCTACAGCAACTGCAGTATTCATTTGGAATGTATAAAGAGATGGAGGAGATCAAACTTAACAGTACAGCTGCCACCTGGGTGGAGCAAAACATGCACATTAGATAATTGGATTTGAGTTACAGGAAATGTCTGCTATCTGTATTGATGTAGGCTTCAACATGATAGTTAGAGAAGGAACGCTTTGAACATGCACAATAAAAGAAGTGGTTTACTTTTGATCAGAAATCATTATCTGGAATCTTTATTAAAATGAATTTAACATGCCTCCACTTTTGTCATGAAAAGTGAAGTCCTTGCCATATACTATTGACTCAGAATAGCACCCATATTATACGACATTTGATTTTTTTTTAATCTTCCAACAACATCAATGTACCAGAGTGCTTGATCAAGATGTAAGGGAAACAATGGACACTGACTGAAAGATGGAGACATTAAGAGGAGTGTTTAAAAGTTCATTGAATATTTTAAGGTAGATGTTAAAGGAGAAGAGATAGATAAAGGCATGCAGGGGCTTAGGGAGGTGCTTCTGGAGTACAGGGTGCATAGGCAGCTGGAAACAAAGCTGCTAATTGTGGGAGGAAAAGAGGTAAGAATGCTCATGAAACCAAAGTTACAGAAACAGAGTCTGACTGTGGAAAGAGCATAAGATAATATAACGCTGGGGGAGTAATGGCATGCAGCCATTTAAAGGCAAGGATTTCAAATTGAGGTTCTGGGAGCTGGTGTAGGTCATTGAGAATGGGGCTAATGGGCAAACAAGGCTTGGTGTGCTATGGAACATTAAAAGCAGAATTTTGGTTTTGAGTTGAGGTTTACAGAGAGTAGAGGGTGACAAGAGTTTCAGAGATGATGAAGGTGTGAATCAAGATTTAAGGAACAGACAAGCTAAGGTCCAGAATAGGTGGACAATTTTAAAGAAGCACAAACAGACAGCCTTCATAAAGAAGGTAGTTTTAGAAGCTTATTAGGATATAATTACACCCAAAGATACAGTAACCGTGTGCAGAGATAAAGTTATACTGGGGCCTCCAACACAATCCCAGTTCCTGATTGCATTTGAAAACTTCTCGTTTAGAGAGTTGCTTGTCTTGGGAAACCCCTCTAGCCCCAGTTGCCTTTAGTGTGCTGAGAAAAAGTTCCATTTATTGCCAGCTGAGAGGTTTTAATCTCAGTGGTTTGAGGTGGATCGAAATCTGGTTCCATTGAGAAAATACTGTTCACATCACTGCACCAACTAAATTTCCACATTTTTTCATCCACTTCTGAGAACAGTTGTCTATTTAAAGAAAGCAAACTGGACTAGCAAAGAAACTGCATTATATATTGAAGGTTATAATGACTTTCCTGTTTATAGACTTGGAAGTACTGCTATTAGTCACTCTGCCACCTTGCAGTGTGAAAAGCCGAACTTAATTTGAAACACAGTTTGTGTCAGGAATGTATTGTTGCCTGATATCATTAACTATCTATTGCACAGCAGTAGACTTTTGATGTGTTGAGTGAATGAAGAATTATTTATTCTTTGCAGTTGACAGCTTACATGTTGTTTATCTTATTTATCTAGATGGCAGCTGGGAAAATAATGCCCACACATTCATAGTGACATCTGGCCTGCGTATCTCCTTTTATGAACTGAAATTGTCTACACCAAAAATTTATTCTTTTCAATAAGGAATGTTATGAATATACCTTTGTAAGACACTATGATATTTATTTTCAGACTGTCTTGAGTTGTCAGTTGTCTATTTGACCAATGTAGTCTAATATATAAAATGTTAGATATATAGTTACCATCTTTGTGCCTGCTGGATTTAATTTGTCACCACATTTTACTTCAGTCTTTGATAGAGTATGGAATAGGGCAAAGTTGAACTAGTCCAGAGATTTAGATCATATTTCTGTTTTGATAGCTCTGATAGAACCATAGAATTCATACAGTGTGGAAGCAGGCCATTCGGCCCAGTGAGTCCACACCAACCCTCCAAAGAGCATTCCATCCAGACCCCCACCCTATCCTTGTAACCCTGCATTTACCATGGCTAGCCAACGTGAACTGCACATCCCTAGACACTATGGGGCAATTTTGCATTGCCTGTATGCCTTACCTGCACATCTTTGGACTGTGGGAGGAAATCAGAACACCGGGAGGAAACCCTGATAACGATGCCATGATTCAATTAAAAACAGTGTTTGGGTGGAAAATACTGTTGTTTTGCTGCTGGAGACAGTGTTACAGAAACAGAACACCTTCCTAGTAGTGCATGCAACCTTTGGTGTTTCTCACATGGACCCAATTGTGGGAGTATACTCATGCAGGTTTCCTTATATTGGAAACAATCGAAGTCTGTCACGGTTTTGTGTGGCCCTACTTTTGTTTGACTGCCGGCTTCCCAATGTGGCCCATGCAGCACCATTGGACAAATTCTCTTTTCAGTCACCAAAGAACAAGTGTTCAGCAGCAAGAGAGGCCCAGCCCTGAGATCACCCAAAGAGCAGGACACCCCAGCTTACGGGCCAGGTGCTTTTAATAACTTCTGCCTTTGCAAACTGCCTCAAAGTACAGTGATAGTAGGAACTGCAGATGCTGGAGAATCTGAGATAACAAGGTGTAGAGCTGGATGAACACAGCAGGCCATC